CTCAGAATTTTCTTAAGTTCGCTAATTTTCTCTGAAGTTCTCAGAATTAGTTGAAGTTTGTTGATCTTCTTTGAAGTTCTTAGAATTTTCGTGAAACTTACTGATCTCTGTGAAGTTCTCAGACTTTTCCTGTAGTTCGCTGATTTTCTCAGAAGTTATCAGAATGTTCCTGAAGTTATCTGATCTTCTTTTAAGCTCTCATAATGTTCCTGAAGTTTGCTGATTTTCTCTGAAGTTCTAAGAATTATCCTGAAGCTCACTGAAGTTATTAAAATATTCCTGAAGCTTACTGTTCTTCTCTTAAGTTGTCAGATTTTTCCAGAAGTTTGCTGATCTTCTCTGAAGTTCTTGGAATTTTCCTGAAATATGCTGATCGTTTCTAAAGTTCTCGAAATATTTCTTAAGTTAGCTGATTTTCTCAGAAGTTCTCAGAATTTTCTTCAAATTTGCTGATTTTCTCTAAGGTTCTCAGAATTTCCCTGAAGTTTGATGAACCTCTCTGAAGTTTCTAGAATTATCCTGAAGTTTTCTGATCTTCTCTAAAATTCTTAGATTTTTCCAGAAGTTTGCTGATCAGTCTTCCGAGAAACACGCGCACATTCGCACCCGATGTAAAAACATAACGTTTTTGTTGAACACGTACACACTCTTCCTTGTGTTGTTATGTTTATTTCAAACATGCTGTTCAATACACACGCATGAACGTTTTGTTGAAACCACGTGTTCTTTTTCATATATGCAAACACGGTGTTTGAACACGATGTTTGTTTTCTTCGGATTGCTTTTATTGGACGGATTACCGTGCCGGACCATTTTCTTCGTTGTTCATAATGATTGTGAACTCAAGTGTTAAGAAAGTATCAACATATTATGAGATATTTTCAAAATTCCATTTACTTACAGCTCTAATGCACGGGAAGTAATATTTAAAGTGGTAACAATTCAAAAAATATTGTTGAAACATAAACAAAAATAATTTGATGCGCAGAAGTAGACACCGTGTGGAATTTGGTGCTAACACGGTAATCTTTCCTCCTCTTGTGTCGTGTTAGAGATAGGCGTATATGTCAATGTTTTCATCTGGAAATCTTCTTCCATGGACCTTTCCGACGTTTATAACACGCACACCATGTTCAAGTACAAAGTTTGTTATCCTCACTTTCGCTACAGCCAAACATGATGGTTTGTTATTGTTATCCTCACTTTCGGACTATCAATTCTCGTGCGCGTAGAATGGACTATGGTAGAATACTTTCCTGATTAAAACATATCACTGACACAATCGCACTAAGGCTGTGAACCATTTGCCGAGTTAAATTTAACTCGTAGTTAAAAGTGACATTTCGAAAGTTATTTCTTATGTTCGAAAATCCCCGTGCTGTCGATCGACCGGTTTTCGAGCCACGGTCGTCAAAATTTAACTTCTTGTCTGTCAGAAATAACCACGCTTGGATAGCAGGGTTAATCGATAACTTTCCATCTGTCAAATTTTAACCAAAAGTTAAAATAATCCACCAAATGGTTCAGAGCCTAAGTCTTTAGCTTTATCTATTATTTCTCGCGTAACATTTGAAAAGGGCCTATCCGCGTTGATCAATTCTCTTCATCGATCTTTTTGGTTTACTACAGCAACATAAACGAATTTCTCGCTAAGCTCACAGCATAGTTCGACAGATGATAATGTTAGCTTGCGCGTGAAACAACACACTCAATTGGAAATTCATTTGCAGTCGGGTTATTCGCGAAAGAGAAAATCGATGAAGAGAATCGATCAACAATGATGGGCCCTTTTCTCGTGTTGTGTGAGATTTGTTATTTACAGGCACTGGGAGTATGATGAAAAATACTGTAAATTGGAAAGTAGGAAAAGATCGCTCATTCGCATTGACATTACACTTGATCATCGCTTTACTTAACTACTTTTTCTTTAGTGAATGCTGCACTTTTGTTGTTTGAGACGTTGAAAACACTATGTTCAAACATCATGTACAAACATAGGACGCGCCCATGTGTGATACATGTTCGAACATAAGGTTCAAAAGATTATGTGTGAGTGCAAACATGAAAAGCAGCAACACAGCGAAAACACGTTCATCTCGAACACTACGTTGTATGTTCAATACCGAAGACTGTTGCTGATCTTCACTGAAATTCTAAGAATTTTCCTGAAATTTGCTGATCTCGGAATATTTCTTAAGTTAGCTGATTTTCTCAGAAGTTCTCAGAATGTTCTGAAGTTTGCAGATTTTCTCTAGAATTCTCAGAATTTTCCTGAAGTTTGTTAATCTTCTTTGAAGTTTTAAGAAACTTTCGTGAAATTTGCTGATTTCTCTTAAGTTTTTAAAGTTTTCCTGAATCTTGTTGATCTTCTCTGTAGTTCTTTAAATTTTCCTGAAATTTTCCTGAAATTTTCTGATTCTTTCTTAAGTTCTCAGAATATTTCTTAAGTTCGTTGATTTCCTCTGAAGTTATCAGAAAATTTCTGAAGTTCACCGAAATTTCCTGAAGTATTTATGATTTTCTCTGAAGTTCTCAGAATTTACGTAAAGTTTGTTGATCTTATTCGAAGTTTTCAGAATTTTTGTGAAATTTGCTGATCCTTCTCTTAGCTATCAGAATATTCCTAAAGTTTTCTGATCTACATTTTTTCTAGAAATTTCTTAGAATTTTCCTGAAATTTACTGATCCTTTCAAAAGTTCTCAGAATATTTCTTAAGTTCGCTGATTTTCTCAGAAGTTCTCAGATTTTTCCGAAAGTTTGCTGATTTTCTCAGAAGTTCTCAGAATATTCGTGAAGTTTGATGATCTTCTTTGAAGTTCGAAGAATTTACGTGAAATTGGAGATATTTCTTAAGTTGTCATAAGCTCATTTTCCTGAAGTTCGCTGATTGATGATTTGATTTTCTCTGAAGTTGTGATAATTTTCCTGAAGTTCGCTGATTTTCTCTGAAGTTATCAGAATTTTCATGTTTTTTATCTTCCTCCTTCTTCTTCTTCTTCTTCTTCTTCTTCTTCTTCTTCTTCTTCTTCTTTTTCGCATTTCAAGCTTATTGCATATCGCATATTAGCTTATTGCGTGCTCTCAACTTAATGTTCTAGATGCACTTCCACAGTTATTAATTGAGAGCTTTCGATGCCTGTACCATTTTTGCATTGATATGATTGTGTGGCAAGTCCAATCGTACTCTATGCCCTGGGAAGTCGAGAAATTGTCCAACTCGAAAAATTCCTAGACCGGACCGGGAATTGAACCCAGTCACCTCCAGCATGGTCTAGCTTTGTAGGTGTTGGTGCGCCTTTAACGACTGAGCTAAGGGAAGCCCCTTCCTCGAAGTTTTAAGAATTTTCGTGAAATATGCTGATCTTCTCTGAAGTTCGCTGTTTTCAGAAGTTCTCAAAATGTTCCTGAAGTTTGCTGATTTTGTCTAATTTTCTCAGAATTTTCGTTAAGTTTTTTGATCTTTTGTAATTTGCTGAATTTCTCTGAAGTTCTCAGAATTTTCCTGAAGTTTGTTGATCTTTTCTGAAGATTTGCTAATCTTTCTAAAGTTTTCAGAATTTGCCTGAAGTGCTCATTTTCTCTGAAGTTCGCTCATTTTCTCAGAATATTCCTGAAGTTTTCTGATCTTCTCTGAAGTTCTCAAATTTTTCTGGGAGATCCTGATCGCCTCGGAAGTTCTTAGATTTTTCCTGAAATCTGCTGATCCTTTCTAAAGTTCTCGGAATATTTCTTAAGTTCACAGATTTTCTTTGAGTTATCAGAAAACTTTCGAAGTTTACTGAAATTCTCCGAAGTATTCCTGAAATTTTCTCATCTTCTCAGAATTTTCCTGAAGTTTGCTGATTTTCTCTGAAGATTTCTGCTCTTCTCCAAAGTACTAATTTTTTGGAGTTTCGTGATTTTCTCTGAAGTTATCACAATTTTCCTAAAGTTTGCAGATCTTCTCTGAAGAGAACATAGAACTCTTAGAACTTCAGAAACGATCAACAAACGTTTGGAAAATTCTAAGATCTCCCGAAAAGAGCAAACTTTAGGAAAATTCAGAGGATTTTAAATAAGTTCAGCATTCTTCAGTGAAGTTCAGCGATCCTCATGGACTTTCAACGAGCTTTAGAGAAGTTGAGCAAACTTCAGGAAAATTATGCAAACTTTGGATATGTTCACCGATGTTCAGATAAATACGGGGCAACCATCATGGTCTGTCCAAAAATAAAACCACCCGGCATCGATTCCTTACACCTTTTTTCTTACAGGAAACATGTGTTTCCTATAACGATATTAGCGGCAGTTTAAGTTAGAGAATGTTAATCCTTTTGGTTTCAGAAATCCCTACCGTGCGCTGCGTCGAATTTTAAGGATCGCTTCAATTTAAAAACAAATGATCAAACTGACGGTTATCAGAAAATAAGCAGACCCAATCTTGATACCTGATCCAGGTTGGATCTGAATAATAAACGAATTCGCTATTGGCATGTTTAGCAGTCCTTGTGGGTCACTAAAACAATTCACGTGAAAATTGTTGGAAATTCCTTTTGTTAAACCAGTCGATAGCCCGTGAGTCTTTCCTCCATATTCTCGTTTTCGTCCGAGCCATATTTTTCATTCATACACCGATAATATGGGTACCTATTTATCTTCCAAAATATACGTCTTCGAATTAAATTTTGATTCAAATAACACAAAGCAACCGAATCATGCAAACTATAAAGATAATTTATTATCTTTCTTCCTTCTTCCCTACGATATCCGCCATAACAACAATCAATAGTGTTCAAGTAATAAGGGAGGAGATCTTAAATATCCGCCCAGGAAATTTTGAAAGAACCGACCTACGAAGAGAAGAACACGTTTTGTCATATTTGCTTACCACCGAACTACCCGCCGCACCGTCAACAGACTACTCGCGGTGTCCCCACAAACCCCTACATATTCCACATACACATGCACAACCTCACGCTCAACCTCATTCATTCATGAATGATCGATTACGACTACTTACCGACGGATTCCGTTTCCGACATCGAGTTATCTTCGGAATTCTCCATCTCTTCTTCCTCCTCCTCGGCGTCGTCTTCGGTGTTCTTCTTCCGTCCTACGCTGTAGATGCGCACCACGGATTCCTGTACCGAATTGTAGCCGCCCTGATTTTCTACGATCGCAATCTGACAACCGTACTGGTTGATGGCCAAATCGTAGATGTTCCGCTTGACGTCCACCGTGGAAATGCTACTGTAATCGTACGCATCCAATACCCTAAAGCTAGACTCGAAGCACACATTGTCGGCGCTCGGTTCCGTCTCCACCTCCGGACAGATACCGTATATCACATTCTGCGTGGAAAATTTCACGTGGCACTGATCCAGTGCTGGGACCGTTCGCAACAGGTGGAATGTCCGTAGGTCCCACACTTCGGTGTTGGAAACGATTTCCAACCCATTCGGATGGAACACACCGGAGATGGTTTGGTTTAGCTTGTCGAACTTGTGAATCTCCTTGCCGGACGAGACGTCCCACAGCACTCCATCCGAAAGGATCAGCTCATCCGATGGGCAGAATGTGGCACGATTTTTAGTGTACTGGTTGTAGATACTCGGTACCAGCGAGAGGACTTTCTGACCCGTGTTGATATCGTAGATGGTGGCAGTCTGCAGGGATAAACAAAAACGGTTAGAATTGAACCAGCCCTTCGGAAGCACGCTCCGAACTTACCTCTCCGGTGGTTGCCAGAACCTTGTCCTGTTTTAAGTTCGGGAATTCCACGTACTCTTCCTCTTCCCAGGTGAGCTTCTGTGTAAAGCGACTGTTTTCGATGTTCCACAGCGCCGACATTGGCGATCGCCACGCGCACGAAGTCAACAGCAACTGGCCGTCCTTGCTGCAGATGATGGAATTGACGTACGACTCGTGGCAAGAGTAGCTGAACTCTTCGTTGCTATCGCTCAGGTTGAATATTTTGACCTCACCGCTGTGCGAACCGGTTATCAGTTTAGTGGCGCAGGGCTGAAACGTGGAAATCGGAAGGAATTGAACCGATCGGTAAGATTTGATTTTTTACATTGATAATGGCATCTGGCAGTAAAATGAAGGGGCATCCGGTGAAATCCTGTCTGAAATATTTTAAGGAAACATTCTACCATGGTGCAACTTACCGTAAAATCACAACACGTAAAGAAGAACTCCGAATCCTGCGGTCGCAGCACCCGCGAGGCGGAAAAGTTCGAGTGAACCAACCTCCGGTCGAAGCGGCGCGAGGAGTAGCCGGCATGCCGTTTGAAAAACCTAGTCGCAAAGTTTATACTCATTCCGGAGGCCCTGTTGGGCCGCGGATCCGGACACTTGTGCGGTGCGAACAGATCGAACTGCGGACACGTCGACATCGGGTGTTTACACAGAGCATGCTGATTGGTGAGATACTCGGTAATGATCGTGTCCAGCGAGATGGAATTACCGGGTACTTCTGTGGTGGCTGTTTTGGAAGACGTCGAAGCCGGGACTAGGAACGAGGCCGTGTCGGTCGTGGCCGAAAGTTGCTTCTGGAGCGTACGTTGATGACTGCTGGATGATGACGAAAAGGGAGTTCCCTGGACGCCTCCGTGTGAAGTGCTGCCAGCAGCAGCAACTCCCGCACTGACACTACCCGCAGTGGACTTTTTAATCAGCTTAATGGGTGTGAACGGATCCACTGGTGGGGATTCATGGCCGGAACTATGACCGGCACCACCTGCCGTATCTTCCTTCGTTTGTTCACCGCCATTAGGTGGGGCTAAACCATCTATGCTAGCTGCGGCCAATGCTGCTTGAAGATTAGTTTGAGCGATTGAGTGATTGAATGTAGTACCATCAGTCGTCTTACTTCGTATCCGTGAACGCTGAATGATCGTCGCATTGGGTGACCGGAAAGCAAAGGGTGAGTGGTGCAAATTTCTACTTATGCTAGCAACCTGCTGGTGCTGCTGCAGGAGAGCATTAGGAACGGTAATGCCACCTTCCCGCACTAGCGTGGCAGCCGTTTCCGTTAGACCGCGTACGACCAGATGTTGGTGGATAAGCTCCAGCAGTTGCTGCTCGTTGAATTGAATCTTCGTCTGGGCTACCACATTCGCCTTGTGAATGTCGGCCAGTGATGTATCCAGTTGATTGTTGGCCGATTTCGCCTTGCCCGAGACGCGTTCCAGCAATTCCAAGGCGTACTTTTGGAACTGAACGTGCTCGGCTCGTTTCTCCTGGAGGATCGGATCACGCATTAAACCTGCGGGAGAGGAAAATGTTTGTACACTGCCAGACTTAACAAAACCAGTTCCATCCTACTCACTTTGCAATTGCCCGTTGACGAACAACGGAAGCTTTCCGATGATCTGTTGCACGGTTTCGGACCTCGCCAGACCTGCCAACGCCCGGCAGGCCATCCCCCGAATACAGTCCGCATCGGTGATCGGCGTCTTGACGCACATCAACGAAAGCAGCACGATGATGCCATTGTTCGAACGAACACTTTCCCACACCTTTTGCAACAGTTCTTCGGAGTTCTTGTTCGGCATCCGTTTCTTTGCCGATCCGAAGCGTGCCAGCGATCCACTGGGGCGATGCAGCGGAGCGCAAACCGTATGCACCAGGACGGCCAGCGCAGATTTCTGTACTTCCGCATCTGCTACAATTTCACCTTCCGCTGCACCCAGCACGATGTTGATACCCGCGGCGGAACCTTCGTCGGGAAATTCAATCCGCTCGCAAAACACCGCATGTACCCGTGGAATCACGCAGCACACGTTCAGCACATCCAAAGCAGTTCGCACCGTCTCACCACTGCAAAAACTAATAAGTGATAAGTGGGCTTTGTCTAGCATTTGAAACATGATACTCACCGTCCACTGTAGTTCCACTCGTAGGCCAGGGCGATGATTCGCAGCAGCAAATTGATTCCTCCGAGATCCAGAAACTCGTCCACCGCTGACCATCGAGCCTTCATCGGTAGCAGCTCCTGCAGTGTACGTATCTGTTCGCTAATTACCTCCGACGAATTCTTCACCGATTTGAAAACTGGCTGGGCCAACGTCCCCGAGGGACATTGCTGCCGCGTGACCTGATTGTACTTGTAGTACAGATGGTTTTCAAAGTATTTTTTCAATGCGACACAAACGTGACGGACCACCTGCCGTGCTGCACACTCTTCGTCGTCGTTTAGGTGGTACTCATCGGCTGGCATCAAGATCGGTAGCACCGCAATAACGTTGTATAGCTTACGGAGCCCATCTTGTTTATCGAACTCATCCATCATGGTTTTAAATTGGCAACTTAGACCGAAGAACATCGTTGCATGACATCGTCCGGAATCGTGTGTGCATCCCAGAAGCCACAGCGCGTAGGTCACCAGTTCCGTGATGATCTTCTGAGGCATCAAACAGATCCTTTCCATTGCATCTTCGCAGTACGCCAGGTAGTAGAAGGCAATGGACACTCCAGTAGCTGCCAGACTTGGTCGAGGGACTTTCAGCAAACGTTCCAGACCTCCGTTAGCGATGAACTCCAGCGAGAACTTCTTGTGACACAGCAGAGATGCCAGGTATTTCAATGCCTCAAACGCCAAGCACGTATCCTTGGAGTCCAGAGTTTCGATGTAACGGAAAATCAAACTCATGGCATTGTGTTCGAAAACGTGCGGCAAAAATTCCTGATACTCTCCCATCGGCGTGAGATAACGCAGAATCAACATCTGGCTAGTGGCAATCGTAGCCGGATGGATGGGAATCATGTTCCGATGCGCCTGTCGACTCTGACCATCCTGCGTGTGCTGGCTGTTTTCGTTCTGAAAGAGAGTGTTTAAATTCGATACCGAAGAAACCCCATTCGGAGGGATCTCGCTCGTGCTCGGTGGCCCCAAATCAGCGAAAGGCCTCTCCGGACTTCCATCACCCACTTCCCCGTCTACTACTACCGAATCATTCTGACCTTCGAAAGAATTCTTCTGGGAAATCATAGCTGCCTCCCCCTGAAACATTCGTTGAAATGCAGTGCTAGACATTCCCTCACCGGCCTCCGCCAACCGATCACGATTTCTATGAGCCAGCTGAAGCACGTGCAGCCGTCTCAGCATGATCGGCAAGAGGCGAATGTTCTGCTCTCGAAAGCTAACGGCAATTTCCTGTACTTCCATTGCCGCACCCAACAACCCAGTGGCATAGCTTTGCAGCGGTTCTGGACTAGATTCCGCCCATCCGTACAGCCTCGTAATCAGGTGATCGAATTCCGCTTGAAACACTGCCGACGTCTCCAAACCTGGCATAATCACCAAAATCAACCGACATGCTGCAATATTCAACGGTTGCGAACATTGTTGCACATTTTGCCGGGTAAAGAAGTTATCCCGTAGATAATCGTTGACCAATCGAGTCATAAAGTGATCCTTCCGGAAGAGTGTTTTCAACATACGACCCAGTTCACTATTTGGATCGGTTCGCGACGGATGCCGCTCATCGAATGGGTCTGGATCCTTACGCATGTAAACCTCGGTTTCCTCTTCGAAGATCTCCGCTAACCTGTGAAATGGAACACATTTTTACAACACCATAATAATGATTATCCCTCAATAATCCTTACCTCGTAACAATCGGCTCCGGATCGTACCCGGGAATGCTGTGCCGTTCTTCCCATAGTTGGAAAATTCGCGATAAATCCCGACCGCGTAAAATTTCCACCTGATCAGGTGGTGATGCCATTTTCCACTCAGCAGTGCACACGGAAACCTATCGCTTATCAACGGAGCAAAATATTTACCACCGACGGCCACCCCGCTTTGACACAACAACCACACGCACGAAAGCGAACCGAAGCCAGCTGTTGTGCACTCGACGAACACGAAGCAAAATGAACACACTTCCCTAACCTCAACTCCGAATCCTACCTCGACTCGGTTTGCTTTTTCGTCGTGGATTTCGTACCTCCTCGACTCGACTGATGGAAATAATGGAACTACTCCCGTCCGCAGCACTATTTTCCAATGCCGTTTTTGTCACAATCAACACCGTCCGGAAGGAATCTGCTGGCACAATCGCAGCCCCGTCGCGTAAGCTTTCGAATCGCAGTATTTTTACCGAGTATTTGGACCGATTTGCAGGATATTTCGCACGCGAAATCCGCGAATGTTCGAAACGCACGCTCGCTAAAAATGATTGGAAACTCTGTGCTTTCACTTCATCAGACAGACGTGCACCACGAACGTTTTGCGTCGGGACGGACGGAACAGGAATGAACCTGACGGTACGTGAATTCATCGATTTTGGATGAACAGAAGAGCGGTGTAATCGATGTTCAGTGTGCTACCGTGCGAGATAAAGTCCTTTAAGAAAAGTACGGACGTCTGGCAAAAGTAGGTCCACACACCAAATTTCTTAAATCTTGTTCGGTATTTTTTTGCTGGATTTGTTCGGTGAAATATAATTTTTACCGAATATTATTTTTACCAATTTTCCGCAATCATAACTGCTGAATTTCCGTAATTTGCAGAAATTTACCGAAATTTACTGTAAATCAAATTCAAGCATAATTTTTCAAAACGACGTATGTAACCACAAACGAAGTGACAGACGACTAACTGGCGAAGAAATCCATTAAAATAATGTGGTTCACTGTAATAGAATTTTCTTGGAAGCTTGTGCCATCATCCACCAGATGGGTTAGTTTTTCTGTTTTGATTTGAACAAAGTTGATTTTGTGTACAATGATTCTTTGACATTGTGCAAAGAGTGTATCATTTTGTCAGTTTTCAGTTTGAGTAGAGTGAAAGAGATAGAACCAAAACATTCTAATACATTTGGTGAAAATGCTTGTACAATCCAGTAGTAGTGTTGCCATGTGGTACAATCCAGTAGTTGTGGTGTTGTCATGTGGTACACTGAAAAATTGAAATAGCAGGTTAGTCACCAAAGTTTTCGAGCCGCTCCGTCTGTCACTTCGTTTGTGTATGTAACATTGGATAGGAAATTAGAAACATTGGATAGCAATGTTTATATGAGATTATTAAATGCTATTTAAAAGTTAATGCTATTTTTTTTAATCTGTTTGTGCTATTAGATGGATAAAGGGATAGCGTTTAAGAGAATTGTGAAAAATGTCGAGTTTTGCAAACACGGACAAGACTTTTGATAAAACAAAAACATACACCTTTTACTTGTGTACTACTCACATACACCCTGATTGATTCGTCGGTATCACACCTTGATTGTTACATACACCCTGCATGGTTCGTCTATTTGACAGAAGGGTTTTCACATACGTCAAATCAGATACACCGGTTTTTGTTTTGCAGTGAAGATACGTCGGCAGCTCGAAAAGCATTGAGGAATTGTCGGTTGGTTGGTTTATTTACATAACTACCCAGAGTTGTGAAAAAATCGATGTTAAAAGCGGAGATGAGAGGGTCACCGCATAATCTGCCGTCAGATGTTATACGTTTTGTGTTTTTCGTATTAAGAAAGCACTGGTCAGATTGGTATGTGAAGTTCAATATTAAAGTCAAGATTAAAGTGCAATTTTATTAGAATACTTTTGAAATAATAGTCATGTTGCTCCCGGAAATACAAAAACAAACATACAAACTTGACGCATTTGCTGATTGATAGTGGTTGCTTTGTTTTTTCACATACGACGCTTCACTGTGAGCGTATCTGCAGTTTTTGTGTTATCATCAAAATTTAACAGTTAAGTCATATTGACAATAAAAGCATAGAGGTAACTCTAAGACCACTGGGTCCTGAAGAAAATTCTCGATGAACATTTCAAATGGTCCTATCTGCTTTGATCGATTCTCTTCATCGACTTTCTCTTTCGTTAATAACTCAGCTGCAAAACCTTTCCCTATTGTATTTGACGTTTTGGACGCTAGATAAGAACCTCTTTTATCAAACTATGTGGTAGAATTAGCGCGAAATCTGTTTGCATAGCAGTGGTTATGAAAAGAGAAAGTCGATGAAGAGAATCGATCAAAGCAGATAGGACCATTTGAAATGTTCATCGAGAAATCATTATTATTTTTGGCTCACTCAGTACCAGAACAACGGTCCCAAGCAGTCCCAAGCTATTTCACTCACCCCTGCATGTTCTGCATGAATCCACACACCCCTGATGTTATCTGTCAAACTTTCATAGCGAATCAAAACAAACATAGTGTAGTAATAGAATTTCAACTAGAATAGGGTACGTTAATCGTTTGCTTGGGACCAATAGGCTACTAAAGTGGTGAGCCAATTTAAAATCGTTAGTTTCGTATTGATTGTTGATAAAAGGGTGTATCAACACCATTTTAAAAACAATGAAAGAAGGTCACATAGGGCGTTCATTAAATATATTCTCCATAATGCATTACAATTTAAAACCTTGTTTTTCATTAACTCGTAGGAAAGCATGTATTTTATATTCGGTTAGATGCAAAATATCGATTTGTTTATTTTTGCGACTTACGTCCTTTTGAAAAGTTATGCATGAATTTGCCGATTGAACCTGTAATACCTTGTACAGACATACAAAGTACACTGTTGTACCACAAACGAAGTGACAGACGACTAACTGGCGAAGAAATCCATTAAAATAATGTGGTTCACTGTAATAGAATTTTCTTGGAAGCTTGTGCCATCATCCACCAGATGGGTTAGTTTTTCTGTTTTGATTTGAACAAAGTTGATTTTGTGTACAATGATTCTTTGACATTGTGCAAAGAGTGTATCATTTTGTCAGTTTTCAGTTTGAGTAGAGTGAAAGAGATAGAACCAAAACATTCTAATACATTTGGTGAAAATGCTTGTACAATCCAGTAGTAGTGTTGCCATGTGGTACAATCCAGTAGTTGTGGTGTTGTCATGTGGTACACTGAAAAATTGAAATAGCAGGTTAGTCACCAAAGTTTTCGAGCCGCTCCGTCTGTCACTTCGTTTGTGGTTGTACTACCGTTGTATTTCTTTAAGCTAGTACCTTAAATTGTACCTTTTGATGTACTCGATTAAAGGAGTACAACGGTACTGCTTTGTATGTCTGTCAATGGTATAAATGGCTGCGATTCCACCATTCTGTAAAAATTGTAACGAATGTATTGCACACTTCACACTCAATTGGACTGCACAATACTGTAAAAATAATGTTTTACAAAAACAAACTGCAATAAAGTACAGCATTTCCGTAAAAGTTACTGAACAGATTTGTAAACTTAGTACTGTCAAACACAACCTTTGCTGCCATTTCGATGTTGAGTGTTCTTCGGTTTTATGTTGTGGAATGTAAGTACTTTACTTTTTTTTGCTAGATTGTGTTAAATTTACACCGAAAATTTTATTTATTTTCATTTTTGGGTCAATTTCTTTCAAACGCCATAGACGTTAGGAAACTCAATATCCTCCTTAAAAGTGCTGAGTTTGGCTCAAAAGTCCACGGTTTGCTGAGTCCGGCTTCATTACTGTTTTTTTATTATTATGTTTGTACGAACGCAATATGGAAATGCCTATTAAAAATATATATGGTTAAATAGTCGAATGAATGTTTGGGTTGGTGAATGAAAGAAACAAATAATTAATCAATAAAAATTCTTTATGATTTACTCTGAAAAAAAAGTACAGTAGATTCGGTAAAACATATACTGAACGCTATGGTAAACTTAACTGATCGTTAAGTAAAATTTACAGTCCGCAGGTCAGTAAATTTTGACAGAAAATTTAACGAATTGAAAAATTACCGAATGGATTACAGAAACATCACCTGTTCCATATTCGGTAACAATTTACAGTATACTGCGAGGGGGGCGACTCTATCTACGATACAGGAAAAATAGTTTTTTGCTGTGGCTAGCTGCGCGCACGCTGAGTAGATTGAAAGAAGATTGATGATGATTCTGAAGATTTCCTGCAAAATTATGATGCACGATGCAAGTAGATGCAAGAAGATGCGAGAAAAAAAAAGACGATTTTCCTAAGATTGATTCGCTACTGTGAGATTTTTTAAGAATCAAGAATTGAGATTTAGATGTGTCGCCTCCCTCGGTATACTGTTTAAAAATCTTAGTGTGCAGTCTAAGGCTGGAACTCACGGTCCACTGGTGTTGGTGAGTTATTTTCCGTTAATGTTCATGAAAAGTTCACTATTTTGCAATAAACAATGCCAAAACTAAAAAGTTTACGGGCGAATTTTGACAGATTTGAACCTATTTCATATGACCAGAAAGTTTCTGCTGGTCACAAATGCCTTATTGCCATGTTGATTTCCTACGTAAGTGATGTGAATTTCACGAATAAACACGAGGACGAAGGACGATTGATTATATCAAAAATTGCCATACACAATCGACAGTGCTGGCGATGGAGTTCATTCATTTCCTCGAATTGAAAAGTTGTATTTTGTATTTTTCCATATTGAATACTCGGAATAGATTCAGAATCCATTTCGGGTTTTCGTTTTTTTTTTCTCGATGTGATGGGGGAGGGTCGAATGACGCTCGGCGAAACGATGGAGTGACGTTGAATTGTGGGGTTTCGCCTCGGGCTCCGCTGGTTTTGTCGAGCTGGAACATTATTTGGATGATTGCCTACATGGGTTTCCTGATCGATGACTTCGGTCTCGCTGCTTGCTGGTCGTTTTCGGTTGAGTTCCGAGGAAGACATGACACGCTAAAAATAGTTTACTCAAATCATATATTGTTGAAATAAACATGCTCATGAATTTAATAAAAAAAAAACATATTTTTGATGCAAACATTTTGTCAATTTATCTTGAATGAATAATATGTTTATAGAATGAACATTTATATTTTTGATTTAAATGAACAAAATTCGTTTCCGTGTAGTAGGTCCCGAAGAAACGTGCTCAACTTTTTGGCTCAGCTCTACTATCTTCGGTCCCAAGCTAATCGATGCATCCCTGGAAACACAGGAAAATCCACGAACCCCTCATTTTATCTGTCAAACTTTCATAGAGAATCAAAAAAACATAGTGCAGTACTAGAATTTCAACTATAATGGGGTAAGCTTATAAATATACTTGGGGCCAATAGGCTAGTCAAGTATTATTATTATTATTTATCTTTATTAGGGAGGCTTTCAGCCTGGGGTTGGTTCGCTTCCAACTAGTCAAGTAGTGAGTCAATTTAAAATCATTAGTTTCCACCGGTTGGTGGTACTGTTTATGTAGACTTAGTCTGTTTTTTTAATTATTTGATTTTCTGTAAACCGCACTTCTGTAATGTCCACGAGGAACGTGAGCAAATTCTCAAATTTTAATTCGGAAATTTTAAAATATTTTTTTCGGAAAAACTTTTAAGGTACCATCAACAATCAATACGAAACTAACGATTTTAAATTGGCTCACCACTTTAGTAGCCTATTCGTCCCAAGCAAACGATTAACGTACCCTATTCTAGTTGAAATTCTATTACTACACTATGTTTGTTTTGATTCGCTATGAAAGTTTGACAGATAACATCAGGGGTGTGTGGATTCATGCAGAACATGCAGGGGTGAGTGAATAGCTTGGGACTGCTTGGGACCGTTGTTCTGGTACTGAGTGAGCCAAAAATAATAATGATTTTCTTCGGGACCCAGTGGTCTTAGAGTTACCTCTATGGTACCATTAGCTTGACCGCTAGTTCAAATAATGGACGCAGTGGTTTTACTACAGACGGTATAGTAAACACAGACTGGCGGATAGAAATTCCGTAAAAATGGCAGCACGGTTATTTTTACATTATTTTTCCTATTGTCTAGCTACAATTGCAAATGCTTACACATAGAATGACTCGTATTCAGTGCAGCAAGCTGTTATGTAAACAAGCTTTAATTTTGGTTTGAAAATGAAGTGTTTATATAAAGGTTGCATGAATAATTCCCACTATGGCATAAAAAATGTTGGGTTTTTTTCCGATTCCCCGCGAAGAATGGCATTCTGAAACAATGAAAACTGTTTTGCGGACTACCGGAAGATTTTCGAATAGTCGGAAGTAACCGACTTTGTAGCGTAAGTAAACTTATTTTTCACAAGTGAAGACTTAACAACAAAGCTTTTCAAACCGATTTTAGTTGCACTTTGGCGAGGAGCATGTGTATTTGGACTGTGGAGGAAAAATCGGAAAAGTTTCCGGGGCGATTCCCTGCTACTCAGATGTCCAGCAAATTTCTCATCTAAAACGCACTGATCGTAGTATGGAGGATGACGTTGATGATATTGAGAACATACTTCCAAGCCCACAAACCTCGACAGTATCAAGTATGCAGTATCAAGATATTGAATATCTCGACGAAATTTTCCTACACCCGGATGAACATGACGGCGAAAATAGTGCCGATTTTGTTTATTATTCTCAATCCGTTAATGATACAAGTATGCAATCAAATCTTCCGGAGAATCTTGAATGTAACCAATTTGTCTGGAACAAAACCCAGAGTCAACAGTGTCAAAAATAAAGTTCTGTGAGATCAAATAGTGATTATTTTGTGTGTTAGATCAATGTGAATCTATTGCGTACTTCACGTCTAACTGGACAAATGACAGCATTTTAACTTATTAAAAAGTGTGATAAAAATGCTCGTTTACGTCTCATGTTATTGGTGTCTTCGGTGCGCTTATTTCTTGCATTATAAAGAATAAATGCACCCAAGACACCAAGAAGATTAAACGTTTTTATCATTAAAAACATAATAACGGAAAACCATGTTCGGGATTACAATACTCTCCACACATTATTCGTTTGTCCGTTTGGCTCAACATTTTGACAGTTCGTTTGGCTCCACTAGATTCGTATCCGCCGGTCTGTGTTTACTATACCGTCTGTAGTTTTACTCCCCTCCCTAACAAATCGGTACCACTGAACTATCAACAATTTTGTCCGATGAAAACTGAGTTCATTTGTGACGTCACGCTGTAATACCTACACACAAAAAATAATCACTACTAAAATTAAAAAAATCATTGGTAGAATTAAAAGTTTTCGTTGGTTCTTTTTGGTAGAAAGTCTGAAGCATTCAAAATAAAAATGTGTAACTTGTCAAATCAAAAGTTTAGCTCTTCGTTAATTTTAAAAGTTGATGCTTTTGAATCAAATTGTAGAACTGTCAAAAGGAAAACCAATGCTTTCAAAATGAAGTGCAAACTGTTTCAGTTCGAAAAGAGTTGTTTTTATTATGACAATATATTTGTTATATTAAATTTTAAATATTATCATATTAATGATTTTCAAGATTAAGAAAAGTAGCCAAACTAATGTTTGTATCATATTTAAAACATAAATTTATTCATTTATTTAATAAAAAAAACAAAGAAAATAAAACATAGTTTATGTTACCAGCGCAGATTGTGTCCTAGCCCTATTAGGCTAAGGAAGGCTAATCCTACTGTTCATCGTCCTGAGTCTTCTAAGTGGCATGGGTTGAGTCAGATTCTTGTCCGTCTTGTAATGGTCAAAGTATTGAGTCGAACCTAAGCTCCACGTTCATTTCGAAGCATTCCTCGTGTTTCCATCCTTTAAGACAACGACATACAATACAATATAGTGGGGGTTCACCAACACCAAAACAGTGAGCTGGTGGATAATTCCCTGTACATCATTGTCTTGTACGTTCATATGTTCTACGCCCACGTACGTTTGGTGGTCACTTTCCGGAATGATGAGTTAGGTGCCATGTAACGGGGTTTGTTGTAAGGATAGTTTTTTCGGTCGAGACGCTTCACTCTGTTACGGGATTTGTTGGCCGGAACCATCCGATGTAAGCGCTTGTTTGTCAAGTAATAGCGTACCTACAATGTAAACATAAATGTAATCGATCCTAAGAAAAATAATTTTCCAACTCACCTACATGCCCTGTTGCAGCGGCTGAATCACAATCGATCACCGGAGGCAGCTTCCAAACACCGAATTAATCGAATTAACCCATTAAAAAAATGAAATTCCGTGGAACGATTTTATTTTCGTCGCGTCAATTCTACTTTGGCGGCAAATAATGTGAGGTCCAGTGCTGCCAAAAACGTTACTATGAAGAAGTATTTTTGACAGTTGAACAACTTTTATTTTAAAAAATACACTTTTAAAATTACAAGTCAGAAGTGAAAGAAAAACTTTCAAACCAAAGATATAGCTTTCATTTTGAAAATTTTCACTGTTAAAACTACGAAATTTGGGAAACTTTTATTTTGAATTTGCATTATTTTTATACCAACAATTTTTGTTTTTTGTGTGTAATTACATAATTATTTCATACATCCAGCCCAGTTGCAGGCACGTAGGCAACATGTTGTACCGTGACAGCGGGCCCAGCACAGCAAAATAAACGATTTGAGCCCGGGACATGCTGCCTACTGTCAAACGCTGCTGTTGGTATAGACCTTTTTGACGTTTAATCGTCTTTCTCTATCTAGCACACATAAATGAATGGACGGTTTGTTTTCCCACTAATCTGTTTCCCTCTTGCTCGTACTCGTTCGATTTAAATAGTGCAGTAGTGTGCGCCGATTAAACGTCAAAAAGCTCTATAGGCCTTGTCACTGGCCTGCATACATCAGCTGGAATTACGTTGATCGATATTTCAATTTTTTGCTGTGTACGAGGATGCAAAGAGAAAGTCGACGAAGAGAATCTGTCAATGCTACTTAGGACCTAATGCATTGTTCAGCTTGATTTTATCTCATGAACACAAACGACGGTGTAACGGGTCAAACCCAAAACCGCGTGACTTCGACTGATCACTCGTCCAAAACTGTCATAACAAAAAAAAAAAACATCTGCATTAAAATTTAAACGTAAACAACGTGCTTCATGGGATATTTTTCGCGTAACATTCGATTCTCTTTTAACTATTCCACCCAAAATTTTAACTATTCAGTGTAAAATCGTTTGCATAATCACGCAGAGGCTGGCGGTTTTTAATTATCCTAAAAATTGCTGCAACATTGTGTGAAATTCGCCATCCAAATTAGCCGCCATGCCGTTCATGAAGGGAAAGGCTCCGGTTCGCCGATCGATTCAATATCTTAGTGCCGGCCGGTTAGCACTCAAGCAGAAGATCAAGGTCTTCAGCGTAAACTACAATACCTACGGAGATCATCATGAGGGAGCGAGGTAAGCTGCTCTAAGAAAGTTGTCCCCTTGGAAGCTTAGTTGATTACATAACAGGGTTTTTTTTTTTCCCTCTTCCGACAGGGATTTCGTATTTTGGACCATTCCCCAGATACAGTACAAAAACCCGGGCGTTCAGGTTGTAACATTCAAGAACATGACACCTTCTCCGTTCATCAAGTGTTATTACGGTAATGCTTGTGATCACTTTGGTTTATAACAGATGTTACTAATGGTGAATTGTATAATTCCAGAGGATGGCAAACAAATTCTGATCGACGTTGATAGTAAAAACCGGAATGAAATCATGCAACATTTGTTGAAGGTCGTGGGGAAATCATCGTGAGTGCTTCTTATAATTTAATCTAATGAACTTTTCATTGAACACACAATCCCAGAGATCCCAGCTAACAATAATTTAGCCGGTTAACAGCTGCATAAGCCAATTTTTGCCTGTATAAGCGGTTCTGCAGCTAATTTTTCTTGTTGGAATTGGAATGTCCACCTAAGGTTTCTTCCTCGCTAATGGCAAGGTTTGCTGGTTTCCGTTGTGGATCTCCTTGGAAATCTAGATAAAAAATTTCAAAAGGTCCTGTCTGCATTGATCGAATTTCTCTTTCGTTGATAACTCGACTGCAAAAACTTTTCCCTGTTGTATTTGAAGATTTGGACCCTAGATAGGAACCTCCTTTATCAAACTATGTGGTGCAAATAGCACAAAATCTGTGTGCATAACAGTGGTTATCAAAAGAGAAAATCTATTAAGAGAATCGATCAAACCAGATAGGACCATTTGAAATATTCATCGACTTCTACGTTAGCTATGGCCTTAGTATGATTTACTACTTCCTTCCTTCCGGTTTGCTTTAATCTTCTTGATCTTCAGGCCCAAACGAATCTCGTTACTAGACTTGGGCTGCCACCTGAAGTACCCCTATTCTACATCTTCTCCTCCATTCCAGAGAAACCCTGGCAGCGGAAGCCAAGCTCGCCGAGAAGCAAGACAATCCGGCCAACTTTGGCGTAGGTTGCGCAAAGCACTGCATCTGCGAAGTTCCCGGTCAGCTGCCCTGCCCCGGAGTGGTTCCAGTGCCGAAACACATGCGAGGAAAGTACATCTACCAGATGAAGGAATAAGCAGGGACTTTCTTTTCTACCAGTTCTCGGTCGGAAGACCCTCCGGTACGTGCAGTTACATAGTTTAGTTCGTTGCCTAAGTGTATTATAAATATCAGAATAAAAAACATCCTACCTAGCAAATGACCGAAGCGGACACATACTTACTTGAGACATGATAGAATTGAAATAAATCTCCGACAAATTTATGCTATCTATACTAGCTTACAGTATCCCTTCACTTGAACCGACTGGATTTGTACGGTCCACTTCTTCCGCCTCGGTTAGAGCTGCGTTTCATCTTGGAAGGATCTGGCCGCTGCAGTGGCTGGTTCTTATTATATTGATACTTTTCGATGATTGGCCGTTCTGCATTGATCGATTTGTTAATGACCAAATCATCCGACTTGCTTTCCATCATCTTCAGTTTGGCTTCCAGAGCTTGGATTTTAGTCTGTTGACTCAACGGGCCGCTGGGACCGGCCTTAGAACCACCGGCCAATGCCGGAATCTGCAGCTTTGGTTTGGTCTTCTCCATTTCGTCTCGATTGACGTTTTTTGCCCACCGAACGACCATATGCTTGTCTCCGACCAGTTTGCCATTGAGCACCCCCAGTGCAGATTCCGAATCTCTTTGCTGCAATAGGTATTTTAATATTAACGACAATGAACTACAGACTATTTTCAAGATCAAACAACTTAACCCTTTCGTACGTCACGAAGGCATACCCCCGCGGATATCCGGCCATCGGCCCGGAACGGTGGAACAGCATGTCGAACTTTTCAATTTTACCGCATTTTTGCGCAATTTTCAATAGTTGATACCGATAGTGGGAAAAGAAAAGGGAGGCGGTTAAACTATGTTCGCTTAAAAGTTTGAAATTCAGCATGATGATCAAAAAGGATAAGCAACTTACTCGGTCACACGGCTGTCCAGGTTTCCGATCCAAAGCCTGCGATCGTCCTGCGCTGGGGGCTGGAGAAGAGAATGTTTGTATGGTGCAGATAATGGTCGTGTTTATCGAAGAAAATCACTTACCTCCGCCATTGCCTGGAGCTTTGGATGACTAGAATCTTTGTAAGCACTAAAATCGGTTGAGAATGTGACGATTTCAACGTGAAAACAAGAATTAATTTTTGAAAAACTGAATAATACGCTCGCAAAATTTTATGTAAACTTGTTTTCAATGTCGACTACACCGTTCTCTGAAGTTACACCGCTTAAGAACTGTCATTTCTGTATAGTTCATCCAAGGTCGGTGACGTTCATCGCAAAGTCATTAGTAGATCTGTGCTGCACTAAAAATTAATGCTAGCCAAATATTCCAAAATGCCGTATCTGCTTCGATCGATTCGCTCTACCGACTCTCTTTCGTTAAGGGGAAGCCGAGGGGAAAGCTTTACAGGCCTATTCTGCGCGGCGTGTGAGGTGAGGTGACACGCTCTCACTTGTGAAGTGACAATTGTCACCTCGGGTGAGGTGACTCTCCGTGCAAATCAAATGGAGAGTCACCTCAGTGACAATTGTCACTTCACCATCACTTCACTGTCACTTCACCTCACACGCCGCGCAGAATAGCCCTGTTAATCGCCCAGAACAAAATGCGTTGAGATTTTTCTAAAAATATTGGATAAAGATATCAAAGTTCCAAAAGTTTTAATTCTACCAAGAACTCAAAACATCTATGGACTTCTAGTTAGTATCTGAACTAAAAGTATGTTAGACCTTTTTTTCCTTTGGTTTGTTTTTTTCCGTCGATCTTGTTTTCCGTGCTGAGCACCAATGCTACCGACGTGCCAGGAAGGCAGCTCCCACACCTTGACCCTACCTATCGACCCATCAACTCATGAACCGGGGACCAACGGCTTTACTTCCCATCCGAAGGAACCCTAATAAAAATTGTATGGTTAATTTGCTTAACGACGTGTTCTGGGCAGGGCGTCACAATATCAGCTTCAATCGACCAAATCGATGCGACGAAGAGACTGCTGGCTTTCTTTTTCTGTTAAAGTCGAACAGCTTCGCAGCATTCTAGAACCTCAGTCGGCGTGCACAAACAAATGTTCAATCGCTTGTCTCTCTTTCTCCCGTCGCTCCATTGGTCTTCCTTTCAAGCTTCGTCGAAATGGATGAGCGAAAGAGCGCTCGACTTTGATAGTTTTCTCTTTCATGAAACACATCAACAGAGGTTTCATGACGTATATGACGGAAAATGAAATAACACATTTAAAGCATTTCTCACGTCAAAACACTTGAAGATTACACGTCATATTTCTAATTTATCTTCCATCCATATATATATCTAAAAAAAAATGATCGAAAACGGGACAAAACGCATTTTAAACAAATTGAAAGAGCGGCGATAGAGTGTTCGTGAAAGGGGATTGAAAGCCATAATGAAGTTCGTTTAACTAGAAAATCGAAGTTATTTACATTGAAAGCGATGAGCAAAGCAACGACGAGAAGTTCCACAGCCAGCCTTTACTTCCAAGCGTCCTTCTTTTTTATTTTCGTTTCTTGCTGATAGTCTAGCTAGGCGTTATAGAAATGAAGCGTCGAACACGCATGTATGAGAGAAACAAAACACGAGTTCATTTTAGAGCTTCGAAATTGTAGAGCCCTGGTTCTGGGTATCATCCAAACCATTTGTGGAATAGTTCAATGATTTGGGTTATCGTTCGTGTATGGTTATTTTTTATTAGGGAAGGCGTGATCAGAGATGTTATGCCTCAGAACATCCCGGCGGCGCCGACTGGGATTGAACCCAGGCCTACTGGGGTGAGAGGTAATCACACTTACCACTACACCACCGGCGCCGTTATGTTATACCTTGAACAGACATACAAAGTTCACTGTTGTACTACCGTCACACCTAGAAAATATTACCGAACTCGGTTTGATTTCAGAGGAATAACCGAGCTGTCGTTAGTTCTTTTTGCTACCCACAATCTGTCAAAGTTACCGAATATCTCGGTTGACGAAAAATAAATTTAAGCAGAAATAACCGAACATCGGTTTACTCAGGAATTACCGAACGCTGTCAAACAAACCGACACACCATTGTAATTAAGGAATTCAAGCTGAACATTGCATTAGGTCCTAAGGTCCTAGGTTCTAACTTGAGCACATAACCAACAATCAATACGAAACTAACGATTTAAAATTGGCTCACTACTTGACTAGCCTATTGGTCCCAAACAAATCGATTACGTACCCCATGCTAGTCGAAATTCCTACGCAATGTTTGTTTTGATTCGCTATGAAAGTTTGACAGATAAAATGAGGGGTTATTGGTTTTTCTTATGTTTCGAGGGGTGAATCGATTAGCTTGGGACCGAAGAGAGTACCACCCAAGAAACAATTGCATATCTAATTAACATTTATTGAGATGTTTTATTTAGTTGCTTACTGAATAGTTGCTGCTTTATCTTGGTATGCAGCTGCTACACACACATTCTTCACACAATTCTGGAGAATTTATTCAGTTTGTGGTCTATTAGTAATTGAAATCATATGTTTAAGTTGCTACTATGTCGCTTTCAATTACGCTGATTTAAGACTACGGATAAGTTCTTTGAACATTTTATACGTGTGATATAGTTTTGAGAGTAGTTTCTAGCAGCTTTCATAATTCGTATTTACTTACATCACTTTGTTGTAGAAAAACAACTATATCATGTCAACGAGTCTTATACAATTATGTTTTGTTGTCATTGAAACTTTGCATCAAATATTATAAGGCTATGGCAAAATTTTATCTCCTCTAATCGTTGTTGTAACATTCAATCGGTTCTAAAGATCTTTTAATAAATCAACCTACAGATACTGTTAAAGTTAAGGCAACACGATTATGATGAAACATCACACATTTTAACAATTTCATTCTGCTTTGATAAAAACCATGAATTCTCAAAAGACTGATTTAGTAGTAAGCCATCTCTAACTGAGCAATGTAGGTTATTTTTTCGCTTGAACAAGTTTGGAAATGGTCCTTTGGGCGTTTCTCGTGTATCCTTCACAGTACTTTTCTCCAGGATTCTATTGGCCACTTGTTCTAAACAGTTGTTTCCTTGTCTTAGGCATCTTTTTAGCTGACATAAATAATTTTCAAATTGATACGCTGAAATGGAATCCAAAGATCCGAACCTTTCAACGTCAGCTACCACATGTTCTAGATTGTGTATATTACTAGTAATATACTCTTCTCCGTAGATGCTTTGGAATTCTTCGATAAATTTTTCAAAAAGCTCTTGCGCCAACGGTCTTAAATTTATATAGAAGTCTGACGAACAGATTGTGACCGCAGTGAACAAAACAAGGAAATGGTAGTACAGTGTTTCCTCTAATATATCACTCAGTACGATGATTCCGATGTAATTCAAAAACGATCGCCATTCAGTGCCTTTCCAAAAAGCTAAGCAGTCTAAAGATCTTATTTTACGATGGAATTCGCAAGGCAATCTGATTTTAGTAATCCTATCTGATAATTTTTGGATTTGGAATGCACTCAGTTTGCCGGTAAATCCCAATTTACCATCTCTCCAGCCGGTTAGAAGTCGTTTCATTACGCCAAGCTCTAGGAGATGCAGAGAATCAGCTACAATAAAATCCTTTACCATGTCAACATCATGAATTCTCAGGATAGGAGATTCCTCGCCATTGTGATGTTTCCCATACATTTTTCTTCGAAACTTTTCGTCAGTTCTTAGCGTACAGCGTAAGGATGGAAAAATGACTGTTCGTGAGATATGAGAATATTCGCCATTTATCGTGCATTTGAGGCATCCATTTTTGCTGTTAAAGTTTACAACTCCTAAAATATAAGATATGATTTAAAAATGTAGAAAAACTACTTTTATGTTAAAAATGATTTAATATCAAGTTATTATATGATTCACCTTTTACAAAAGCTCTAGCAGGAGAATCACAAATGAAGCATCTAATTTTGATATTGATTGTGCAGCCATTTACAACAATACCGTTCCGTAGAATAGGGATAATTTCGTTGACAAACGGCGTTAAAAACTCATTTATGTTTGAGGGTTTGTGTTTTCCAAAGAAAATTCCCACAGGCATCGGTTTCAGACTAGGTGCGCCATGGACGTTGCATAAAATTGGCCATAATTGGCATTTTGAGCTTTTGTGTATTGGGAGTCCATCTATATTAAAGTTGATACTTATTGAAATGTCCTCAACTAGATTATTGAACCAATATTCTAAGCACTTCTGGAGTCGAAAATGCCAATATTGTCCACCGGCCATTTCGATGCATAATTTTCCCGTATCTTGTGGAGTAGCAAGTAATGTTCTAGGATCTGCGGGTAATCGTCGGTCATTGTATTGGAGTCTCATAAGTTGCAATAAATCTTTCAATGCTTTGTGAGTTATGTTGTGGCGTAAAGACCACTCTTTGATAGCAGTTTGGATGTCCTCCTTTTCAGGGTTATCGAACAGCTTTGCGAGGTCTACTAAGCCTTCTCCATTGACTTCCTCAAAGATATAGGTACACGATGTTCCACTTAAATCCGATATATCGCTATTAGCTGCCATACTCATGCTATTTTCATGATCCTCATTGCCGAGATCTTAAATAGAAAATAGGTCAAATAGATTTTTTAAACATTTACCGTTGTACTAATACATTTTCATCGACTTACGAGTTGATTCATCGGATACAGATGCGGTATTAATTGTGTAATCATTTTGTTTGTTGAACCCGGGGTTAGAACAAATATTTTTAAACATAACTTCGTATTTTTCACGTGTACGTTTCAATTTCCTGTAAAATGATCAACTTTTTTTGTATTTTTTGTAAATTTTATCCATTTTGAGCAGCAAAATAAAACGAACCGAACTGATGGACGAGATAGAACAAAGGTGAACTCGGATACAAAAATGCTGTTAAATCGCTTTTCTACTTAAATCACCTACAGTATTATAAAAACGTTTGATACGCTTCAAAAAAACATTACTCAAGATCAAATTACTTTTGTATGAATAACAGTGTATTGCAATGCTATTATTCACATTGTTTTATTATCTAAATAATCAAGCTGCCAATTAGCTTTAGTACAGAACACAACAACTCTAGTAAAATATGTCGTTAAGCATATATGCATTAGCTGATCAAATCAGTTAGTAGAATCTTCAAAAGCTTTTAAGCTGCTAATTGTTTAACCATCAATGTTTATTGGAACAAAAGCAACTTTTTTGTTAGTAAAGTTATTTAATCAACTATTACTTCAGGCATAGATGTGCAGTGGAACAAAAGGATTTAATGAAATGGAAATATGTTTTATTAAAGTAATGATTCAACAAGTATATTATTCAACTAAAAAACTTCTTTAACGCTTCTGACTTTGAAGAAATTCTTATTCAACTGGTTTTTAAAATGCCTTTGCAAGCCAGAGACATAGCGACATAGCCTTGTACATTTTCACGGCAGTAGAAACAAACTATAGCACAAGATGCCTGCAAATAAAATCATACCGTTAGTTTCAAATACTTACCAAAGATTTCATTCAAACGTGCATCCTCTTGTTGCACCTGCAGAACTTTTTCCATTTTACTTAAGTTTTGCACCCGTCCGACGAGCACACGCGAGAAATAATGGCTGACTAATTTTAGACTCAGCTTAGAGAACCAAGTTTTCGGTTAAATTTTCCGTCGTAAAGTTGAGCGCAAGTGGAACGTTTGACGTTTAACACGTTTTAGCGAATATTCGGTTCAGTTTACCGAATTTCTCGGTTTTCACGTAGTGAATTCGTAAATGTCGATACTTTACCGTACTTTTCGGTTCAGTCTTCATTTCTACTTTACCGAAATTATTTCAAATATAGTCAAAATTCTAGTACTACACAACGTTTGTTTTGATTCGCTATGAAAGTTTGACAGATGAAGTGAGGGGTTAGTGGATTTTCCTATGTTTCGAGGGGTAAATCGATTAGCTTGGGACCGAAGAGAGTACAAGAGCTGAGCCAAAAAGTTGAGCACGTTTCTTCGAGACCTACGTGTCTTAGAGTTACCTCTATGGTACAATCAAACTTAGAAAATAATACCGAACTCGGTTTAATTTTCTTCTACCGAATAATTGGTTTAAACACATTTTTTCAGGCGTATTTATCGAAGCAGACCCGAATTTCGGTAAAGTAGAAATGAAGACTGAACCGAAAAGTACGGTAAAGTATCGACATTTACGAATTCGGGGGGTGGGTGGGGGTCAGGTCATTCTGCGTTCCAAGCTTCCCGTACTTTGCTCACGATCCCGCCCTTGACATCGTGTAACGGTACTTCGTTGGTATAGTGAGGGGCGATGGTCCTGCCCCAGCCAGAAAGTCAGCTTCAGAGTAGCCTGGTATTCCGCAGTGCCCCGGAACCCAGCAGAATACCGTGTTTGGTGGCGCGGACTTCATCGTCACCTGTACCCGGGGATTAGTCGGGGCCTCAGATGTCAGGGCTTGTATGACGCTGTGCGAATCCGAGAGGACCAGGATCGGTCCGTCGGAGAGCGTTGTAGCATCGATGAAGATGGCAGCAGCTTCAGCAGAGAAGACAGAACATTGCGGCGGTAAGTTCCAGCTGGTTGGTGTGATGTTTCCGGCTAGACCGATACCGACCCCGGCCCGAGAGCGAGATCCGTCCGTCTATCAATGAGTGCGTGGGGTATTTTTCTCCTAACTACAGTCATTTTCATGGCCACGGAATTGTCTCCGGCTTTCGATTTGCGGTAATGGTGTTTGCCAGCATTTGTCTCCATGCCAGTGGACCCTGGCTACTAAGGGGAGATCTTCGTTGGCAGCCGTGTGGAGGAGTCTGTTCCCCTCATAGAGGAGGAAGATCCCTTGATTTCCGGATGTCTTGCTAACGGTCGGTGCTAACGTAGCTAAAAACTTATCCGTTGCGATGCAGGGCATCTCCAACCCGTATAGAAGGCGACTGCCGATAATTGCACTCGCCACGTGAAAACGGATGCTGCGGTTGTTCGATCTATTCTGTCAGGAAATGGTCCGGATGAGATTAACTCGACTGCGGCAAATTTTCTTGGCTGCACTTAAATGCTGTTCAAAGTTGAGAAATCGGTCAACGAGAACTCCCAGAACTCGGGCGGTCTTCTTCGTCGATTTTGATCGGTGGTCCGCTAACTCTGTGTTGAGAAGGGCAGACATGGCACCTGATACTTTTAGAGGCTGATAATTCAAAGCCTAGTGAGTGGGCCCACCTGGCGATAGCGGAGACTGTCGCTTGGGCTCTCATCCTTGTACGTACTGGCGTGGGTCCGGTGGTTACGCTGAGGATGTCGTCGGCGTAGATGAACACATATGTTTTTCGGTAGTTGACGGCAGACTCCGTTCATCGCCACGAGGAACAGGATAACAGCGATAACCGATCCTTGTGGGACACCCTCGGGGAAAAGCCGGGATTTGGTGTTGCCGACTGCGACTCGGAATGAGCGGTTGGACAAGAAGTTCTGGATGAAGTGAACGATGGGTCCGTTAAGACCCCAGTCGATTAACTGCTTAAGGACGAGGGGCGTCCACGTTCTGTTGAAGGCCTTCGATATGTCGAGCGATACTATCTCGGTGTACAGACCACTGTCGTAAGCGTTCTTGAGAACTTCCCCTAGGGTTGCGAAATAGGTGGTCGTTCCGAAACCTTGTCGGAAAGCGTGCTGTCGGTGATCAAGGAAATTTCCGGCTTCGAGGTGTTGCTTCAGTCTTCGATTGACCATACGCTCTGGTTGTCATACTTTGTCAATCGTTGCGAGCTCGGCGAAGTAGGTACCGAGTTCATCAGCTACCGTTTCCGGATCGGAAACCGTGGAACCATTAACCTGGACGTGAAGTCGTTTCCCACTAAGGGCGTTGATTCGCTGCCAGAGATCGGCCAATTGTCTGTGGTAAAAGTATGTTGCTGACCACAACTGAACCTTTTTTTTGTCTGGTATAGTTATTCAATGTTTACTTGCTGTTAAACCATTATTACAGTAGTTTATACCATGAAAGGCTCTCTGAAATGAAAATTTACAAGTTTAACACAGACAAACAGGCATAACTTTCGCATGTTGTTCATCGATCACGCATTCAACGGCCAATTCAAATTTTTCTTAGTTGGTAGGACCGCCGCCTGGGTCATTTACCTAGCATTTAACGTTTACACACTACTGCCATCTGTTGAGCGTACTGCTGATAACAGTGTACTCAAACAGATGACGTTAGTGTTTTAGCGACGGTGTTTTACAGTAAATAATATTCCATGTATTATGTCGATTTGTCTGTGGGTTTAATGTGTCAAACACATACTTTACAACCTCTTTTCGTTAGGAGCTGGTCATAAACTACGTAGACACTATAGAGGAGGGATTTGGCAAGCGTCTACAAATCTTCAATTTTTTTTTCGAAAGCCTCTCAAAGTCGGTGTACGTAGTTTATGAACAACCTCTAACTTACAAATACAAAATATCATCATAACCGATATTAAGCCGATTACAAACCGTCAAACCGATCAAAACTTCAAAGGAAAATTTCTTTCTTGCCACAGAACCAGCATGTTAATGTTATATACGATTTTAATCAGTTAAAGTATGATTTTACATTAAGTGACAAATCAAAAGTGCCAAAAAACTTCTCCTAAACATTACTTCTTCTTTTCGTCTTTCGTCTTATCTCCCTTACTATCATCTTTCTTGTCCTTATCATCCTTTTTCTTATCTTTGTCGCCTTCCTTATCATTTTTATCCTTAGCATCCTTCTTATCCTTCGAATCGTCAGTCTTCTTGCCCTCTTCGGCATCACGATTCGTCAGTTTGTTGTTGATCAAATTGTGCAGCGCGATAATTGATCGGACAAGCGAAGCCAGATATACCACGAGCATCTGGTCATTCGTTTTCACGTACAGAGTATCGGTGAACGTTTCCTGTGTGATGTCCGGCAGGAGATTAAGGATATCTTGAAGCTGATATACGATGGGGTGGTTAATTGGGAGCTGTCCGTTGCCCACTTTAAGCAAGTAGTTCTTGATATCCCTCAGTTGGGCGTTGAGACCTTTCAAACCCAGCAGTTGATTGGTGATCTTCTGCGACAAGCTTCCCACTGTGGTATCCTTGATGTCACGCAACAGATGTTCAACGCCCACTTCTTCCGCTTCTTCAGCTCCGATCTCGCTCGGAACGTGTTCGAACGTCTTCGACGTTGGTGATCCATCATCGTGAACCTCCTCCACGGCAATGTACGCCTCCGTCGGTAGACCTAAATCTTTCGGCTTGGCATCGATAATGACCAGCACCGAGTTCGGACAGTAACGGCGGATCAGCTCATTGATTGCGATATCGTTCTGGCACAGCTTCGGACCGGTGTGATACCAGCCGACGACGCGTTCGCGAGCATTTACCTTTTTGAACATGCCGTACATGTTTTCCAGATAGTCATGATCGAGGAACCAGACCGACTTGTCCTTGTCGTCCTCGTCGAAGGGGACTGCAAGGGGGGAAGAAATAGTTTAGAGAATGTTAGGTGTATTTCGACTAAAAATTGTGACGTTAATCATGAATATATAATAATAGTTTATGAATCAAAGGGATAAGTGCATCAGACACCAAAACAATTTACTTTCATTAATGCTTCCACATTTATTATGGTTCATTGATAACCAGTAAAACGCAGAAAACTCCCGCTTCCGAATCAATGCCAGTCGAATAAAAGGAAGACTTGCCTTGAGAATGTTTTAATCGGGTTACCATTTTTCATCGTTCAATCATACAGACTGAACCACCTGGGCACAACATTCGTCGAGAGCCCGTCTAGGCCGACAAAAACGAGAAATGACCCAAATTTTACACTAATTTCGAATCCCAATCAACTGAAAAACTTACCCGCAAAGCTGTTGGACACATCCAGGACCCCCTTGGCCCGCCAGCACCCGAGCAGAACTCCAACGACCCGTTTTTGGTTGCCAATTTTGCCCATCCGGTTGAAGTGATCCACTACGCTTAGCAGCACCAGCGGGTGGACAATCACCTTCGTCGTACTCGTCTCCGATGGCATCTTTCTGGATTGCTTCCTTTTTCTTACGCTGGGGGGTCAAACGTTTCACAAAAACCAATCGATTTCACTGCTTTCAGCCGAATTAAATCTACCTTATTTTGCGTTCCGAAACAAAGCGAACTAAATGCTTTTTCGGCAAATCACCCACCAACAGAATGACAAAACAACTTTTGCTCTCTCGCGTGTTTGACAGATTTGTGAGATTGATTAATTCCGTCAGGTTGGCAATGCCGTGCGAGGACGGTGTAATCGAAATGGTGAACACTTTTGTTCATTCGGCAGCTGTCAAAATCAGATTGTTTTTGTTTACATTTTTCGTAGCAAAATTTCGATTTTCTGCAAAATTACTGTGCAATTTAGCTAGATATGATTAAAGTTTTACGAGGTAGTTAATATTTGTAGGACAAGGTATATTTTAAGTGGGGACGTGCGCTTTACCAGAAGCTAAGAACCGTTTGCTAGAAGATGACCCTGGATTCGTACGACAAATTGCTCGGAACCGTCCTGCAGGAGTACAAAATTTTGAGTGAATAGTAAGTTGATGTAAAATACTGGTTCCGCATTTAATAAATTGTTCAATTCCAGTAAAAGATTACTAAACGAAGACCTGGGAGGACTCTACGTGATTCCATCGTTCGAAAACAGCTTTTGTAAGATTCGTTTGATTTTATAATTCTGAAAACTATTCAACAGATAGTTCTCTGATTTCAGTATGGTTTGGGGTAATATTTGTTCGGAATGGGCCCTACAAAGATGGGGTTCTCCGATTTACGATATCCTTTTCGGAAAAGTTTCCAAATGATGCCAGTGTTCCGGTAAGTATGATGACAAAGACGAATCATTTAAAATTTTAATAATGTTAATTAACGGGATACAGTTTAAGACATCATATGATTCGCTGCGAGTTAGTTCAATTTAAATTATTAAATTATTTGTCAAGCGCGCATTTGCATAGAAAATATGTTAACGGAATCAGCTTAGCTAAACCAAACCAGAGCACCATTCAAAATCAATTTATTCGTCAAAAAATTTTCTTTAACCTTTCAGAAGTCACTCGTAGAAAATACAACAGTATGTTATTTTCACCTAGAGGATACTTATTGAAACTTATTATTGTCCAAAATATTCTTCAAGTATTGGACAATTGGACACGGGCATTAAGTTTCATGAAACATTTTTAGTTTCATGTTGAATAAGTTTCAAAGTCAGTAGGTTTTCAATTTTGTTTTTTTTTTGTTGTAATTTGTACTTGAACACCTCTGCTGCAGAGAAGCAAATATGGCATTAAGTTTTTACTTCTGTATGACTTCTGGATAGCAAGATCAGTGCCAGTGAAAACGAGAAGTGGAGGGATTCCATGAACCTTCATCTTAATACAACCGACAAGCCGACGTGACACTAGTTTCCAGACCATGACCAAAAATATGCAACGGTCAATTTGAATGTCGAGTGATCACAAACGTCTAATTTATCATGATCATGACAAGCATTTATTTGTTTACATAAACAAAGAAAAGTTGCAACTATTGCAGAATGGGAATTGCACGGAATCAGATTTACACAGTAGTAAAGAAAACACGTTACATCTTGTTTTCACCGAGGTTTTCACTGGAAATCCTATGTATAAGTACTCATTGCAAGACAGCCTATATTACGTGATATAGGCTGTAATGTGAACGGGGTATTACTCTTCCAGAAGCACAATTTATTCTACCCGAGCTGACGTATCTAAAGTGGTAGCCTACTACTAAGGCTCTGAACCATTTGCCGAGTTAAATTTAGCTCGTGGTTAAAAGTGACATTTCGAAAGTTATTTTCTATGTTCGAAAATCCCCGTACTGTCGATCGACCGGTTTACGAGAAGAACTTAGCCAAGGTTTTCAAAATTTAACTTCTTCTCTGCCAGAAGTAACCACGCTCGGATAACAGGGGTTTTTTTGCTGGTGTCTGATGACGGCTAAGACCGTGGTTGGTCCATTTTGCCGGAGAGCAGGGTTAATCGATAACGTTCCATCTGTCAAATTTTAACCAAAAGTTAAAATAATCCACCAAATGGTTCAGAGGCCTCACTTACTGCTATTTATAGCACACATAACCAATAAAAATAACTCAGAGCGAGAGTCACTTCAACTCAGGTATGGAGACATTTCTAAAACCTGCTCAGAAACTCAGCGCTGAGTACTTGCAGTTTTTATAAATTTATCATACAACTGAGTTGAAGTGATACAACTGAGATTCGAGTTTTTCTCATTGGTCCTCCCTTATAAATAAATACCATAAACGAACTGTATCCCGGATGGGTAAACTATCCCACAAATGGTTTGGATGATACCCCGAACACGTGGTTAAACCAACCGGTGAACACTCGTGTTTATTTCAGTTACCATGGAGACGTAATTTGTGATTAGCCCCGGTCCCTTTCAAATTGTATCATTATTTATGAACGGCCTTTTATTTAAAATGACGTTTCACATTCATCTAGTGATGTCCGATTTTCATTCGAATAATCGTTTAATCGATTAACGAACCGAAAAGTAAACTATTTATAATCGGTTATATCATGCCGATATAAGCATTAACACCTCCACAGGATCATCACCGATCGTTTCAAACATGTGCTGCACTCTCATTGGTGGAAAAATGGCAGCACAGCGAACAAAAAATATTCGATTAGTTGTTAATCGAGTAATTAAAAAATGGGACATCTCTGATTTTGGTGTGATTGTTTTGATAAAAATGAGCGCAAACTTTCATCTCTTCCGAGGGGGCAGCAAAACCACAAAATTACCTTGAATACGAGGGGTTCTCATTGGATGAAAGGGACCGTGAAAGAAGACACTAAAATAGAAAGTTTTTCTTCCGACAGTTTCATCTTAGTATTCATCTTTGGTTAAACTCTCTTTTATGGCTTGCTGGGAAAACTTATTTTCGGAATTCGAGGACGCTATGCGGCTGGGAGTAACGATTCTTTACAGTTTGGCGCAGCGTTCAAATATGCTTGCGTTGGAAACGGGGAAACGAATCAGGAGCCATGTTTACGTAGCCACTCGGGGTGTTGGGATGCGTTTACCAACTCTTTATAGCTACACTTCGTGAGTTGTGTTTGTGATAGCTTAAAGCTGCAATTTAGAGTTTATTTCAGTAAAGATGCGTGACTTATTAATTTTAAGACTTACAAATTTGGTGTACTTTTTCTGGAAGTGGTATGGCTCGAATTCCCACTCTACTTCTTCAATTTAGACCGTACTATAATTTTAATTTAATACTAGCGTTAAGTTCAATTTCCGTTAATTTCATCCGTACTTACAGTGTTTATAATTTATGATTAGATTTAAGCACTACACGGCAAATAATGTGTATATTAGATAAGTAGAATACTAGAATAAGGATAATAATAGATCAACAACTATGTCAACTTTTGTTCTTCGTGTTTGTTCTTCCTCTTTTCGTTTGACGTTATTCTAAGTTTTCGATTTGGGTTAGCGACTGGAAGTCAATTTTTATTTGTTATATGCGACAGTTAGAAGATACTGAGAGGTTAGCACATATCATCGGCAAGAGACGTGCGTGTGAGAAAATTTGCGAAAAAATCTAAGGGCACCGGTGGGATTCGAACCCACAATTCCCATTCAGTACACGGGTGCATTGCCAATTATACAACGGTGGACCTATGGTCTACGGATGTATTTGGCTAATGACATATGAGTTTCGAATCCGTTTCCCTCCCTTAGTCTTTTTGCGCAAGCGTTCTCAATACACAACAATCGTCTATTACCGACGATATGTGCTTGTACCGCAACCACTCAGTATCGGTCGATGTGAACAAACACAACTCGTCTCTGTTCTACATCACACATGTTGGATACGGGATGTCCAATGCAGTATGAATAGAGCAATGAGCTGCTGGCCTCACCTCCGACCACCGGGCCATAGTGATGATTTATCATCAAATTAATTTTCGATTTGGGTTAGCGCCCGGTGGTCGGAGGTGAGGCCAGCAGCTCATTGCTCTATTCATACTGCATTGGACATCCCGTATCCAACATGTGTGATGTAGAACAGAGACGAGTTGTGTTTGTTCACATCGACCGATACTGAGTGGTTGCGGTACAAGCACATATCGTCGGTAATAGACGATTGTTGTGTATTGAGAACGCTTGCGCAAAAAGACTAAGGGAGGGAAACGGATTCGAAACTCATATGTCATTAGCCAAATACATCCGTAGACCATAGGTCCACCGTTGTATAATTGGCAATGCACCCGTGTACTGAATGGGAATTGTGGGTTCGAATCCCACCGGTGCCCTTAGATTTTTTCGCAAATTTTCTCACACGCACGTCTCTTGCCGATGATATGTGCTAACCTCTCAGTATCTTCTAACTGTCGCATATAACAAATAAAAATTGACTTCCAGTCGCTAACCCAAATCGAAAATTAATTTGATGATAAATCATCACTATGGCCCGGTGGTCGGAGGTGAGGCCAGCAGCTCATTGCTCTATTCATACTGCATTGGACATCCCGTATCCAACATGTGTGATGTAGAACAGAGACGAGTTGTGTTTGTTCACATCGACCGATACTGAGTGGTTGCGGTACAAGCACATATCGTCGGTAATAGACGATTGTTGTGTATTGAGAACGCTTGCGCAAAAAGACTAAGGGAGGGAAACGGATTCGAAACTCATATGTCATTAGCCAAATACATCCGTAGACCATAGGTCCACCGTTGTATAATTGGCAATGCACCCGTGTACTGAATGGGAATTGTGGGTTCGAATCCCACCGGTGCCCTTAGATTTTTTCGCAAATTTTCTCACACGCACGTCTCTTGCCGATGATATGTGCTAACCTCTCAGTATCTTCTAACTGTCGCATATAACAAATAAAAATTGACTTCCAGTCGCTAACCCAAATCGAAAATTAATTTGATGATAAATCATCACTATGGCCCGGTGGTCGGAGGTGAGGCCAGCAGCTCATTGCTCTATTCATACTGCATTGGACATCCCGTATCCAACATGTGTGATGTAGAACAGAGACGAGTCAACCGGTGAACACTCGTGTTTATTTCAGTTACCATGGAGACGTAATTTGTGATTAGCCCCGGTCCCTTTCAAATTGTATCATTATTTATGAACGGCCTTTTATTTAAAATGACGTTTCACATTCATCTAGTGATGTCCGATTTTCATTCGAATAATCGTTTAATCGATTAACGAACCGAAAAGTAAACTATTTATAATCGGTTATATCATGCCGATATAAGCATTAACACCTCCACAGGATCATCACCGATCGTTTCAAACATGTGCTGCACTCTCATTGGTGGAAAAATGGCAGCACAGCGAACAAAAAATATTCGATTAGTTGTTAATCGAGTAATTAAAAAATGGGACATCTCTGATTTTGGTGTGATTGTTTTGATAAAAATGAGCGCAAACTTTCATCTCTTCCGAGGGGGCAGCAAAACCACAAAATTACCTTGAATACGAGGGGTTCTCATTGGATGAAAGGGACCGTGAAAGAAGACACTAAAATAGAAAGTTTTTCTTCCGACAGTTTCATCTTAGTATTCATCTTTGGACGAGTTGTGTTTGTTCACATCGACCGATACTGAGTGGTTGCGGTACAAGCACATATCGTCGGTAATAGACGATTGTTGTGTATTGAGAACGCTTGCGCAAAAAGACTAAGGGAGGGAAACGGATTCGAAACTCATATGTCATTAGCCAAATACATCCGTAGACCATAGGTCCACCGTTGTATAATTGGCAATGCACCCGTGTACTGAATGGGAATTGTGGGTTCGAA